CTACACACCGCCATTCCCCAGACATACAGCGTGGTCCATCTCACTGTGGCAGCTTCCACAAATGGGCGCCTGCGACTCTGTAATGGAATAACTCTCATCGGTATGAAATCCTTGGATCCTCCGTCTCCATCCGGGGTTCCTCCTGGTGCACGACAACGCCCAGCCTCATGTGGCGAGAGTATGAAGGTTCTGGGTTCGCCGACTTGCGCCCACGCTCGCCTGTCGTGAATCCAGCAGAACACCTCTGGAGCATACATGTGGGCGCCGTACAAACTACCGAGTACCACTGTGAGCTGTTGCACTGAAATGTTAGCAAAATGAACTGAGCTGATTATTGTGCTGTCTTTGAAGTCAGCCTGTAGTTTGATGGATCCATCCTTGCCTTCCTTGCACATTACCCAGTCCATATCAGTACGGCTATGCAGCAGATTTTTCCCTTTGCTGAGTGAATTCTGCAGGAAATCTACGTCCACACTGTAACTGCAAACTTATTTCAACCCTACAGCGTAACCCGACGTGCACCTCCAGAGCAGTGTAACCACTACACTAGCTAAATGCATACCACACCAACTTGAATGGTGTGAAAGGTTGCAGTTATGAGAAGTGTTCCTACAAGTCTTATTTTAAATGCACTATTTAATATCTGCCGCAGGTTCTTGGAGCTTCTGCATACGATCATATTAGAAACAAAGTAACTCAAGAGCAAATATAGCAACGCCACATCGATTGGTGTGCAAACCAACTGGTGTGCCCGCTGAAACACACCAAAGAAAAGATGGAGCAAACAGACTCAGTCTCAACTTACTTGGCCCTGATTGGAGGGCGGCTTAAGAATCCAAGTAGTACACAAAACCCAAAAAAGAAACATCCACAAATATTTCCATGAATGAAGTGTTTTTCTTTATTTTAAATATTGTCTGATGAGACTGCAAACGTGAATGCAGATTGTCTCAATCTTACCTGAAGCCCTTCATTGAACGAACAAACACATTGGCCTCAGTCTGTGCAGACACGTGGCAGCACTGCTGCTATCACCGTGTTCGGCTTTAACAAAACAAAATGCAGACATAAGTGTGCACATGAGCTGGTGTCACTGAACACAGCCTCAGCATGTTTGTGCTCAGACCTCGGCCTGGTCCGCCGCTCCGAGCCGTGCTAAACGGACCTCCGGCTAACACGCCGAGTTCCTGTCGGGCTCGTAGCCGAAAACTAGCTCTGCTAGCGACAGACAGAGAGGCGCTGAAAGGAAGGTACTGCTTCAGAGGCAGCAAGCACAGTGTACAGTCTCATGCTCGGGTCATCAGCTCAGCATTGATGACAAATGCTCACTGAGGAGTACAAGTTCATTTTGAGTGGATGCTGTTAAAAGTCACTGATCACTTTAAGCTTGAGGGAGCCTGTTTTATAAGCAGCTACTACACCGAGGGGAACTGTCCTTCACCTGGAGAGAAACCAGCTAAAACATCTGATTCCCAACTACAACCCCAGATCTGTTCATGTTCACGCTTCCCACAGAGGTAGAGGATGAACATCCAGAAGGACGAGGCAGACTACGTGGAGCCGACGTAATCTAAAAACAAAATATCAATATTTATGGTGGCAATTGTTTCCCATGTGTTGCATTCATGTCAATGTTGTTGAGACAAAGATGCATCGTTTCGTGCATCGGTGAAAACACTTCACACAGGTCGAGTCACTCGAGAGTCACAGGATTTACAGAAAATGCAGTTTTGTGATTCATATCATTAATGGGAAGATAAATGTCTCATAGCGGGAGAGTTTGGTCACGTCGCACAGCCCCACCAGATGCAGACTACAGACTTACAGTGAGCCCAGCAACAGGACATCAGCAGTAACTACCAGACCCCATAGTTGGCTTGTACAGAAACACCAGATGGGAAAAGCAGCAACAGAAGTTTCAAAATAAAACTGACATGCATATAAATGATGCTACATACCTAAAACAGCGTGCAGCGTACCAAACATGACAGACAAAGCAAAGAATTTACATCCACCCAACAAAGTCCCAGATTGGCCATGACTGTTTTCCCTCCAGCCCCAGGGAAACATGTAGCTTTAACGCTCCTAAATGGTCCACTGGTTACCTGTTAACTGGTTACCTGTTAACTGGTTACCTGTTAACTGGTTACCTGTGAGCTGCAGGTCATGTACAGAGGATATGAGAGTCATTTCATTGGACGTAAGGTTATAACACCGCAGGAACGCTTGGCTTCGTTTCCAACGCCCACATCAGTGACTGTAAATACATGTGGAAGCATTATATTCATGAAGAGTCTTTAACGTTTGCTGAAAGCTCTGAAACACAGATAACGTGATGTTACCACGCAGCCAGACTTTGCTAAGTTCTGCAGATCAGCAAACGGAAAAGTGTGAGACGAGTGTTCATCAAGCTGAG